GCTTGGGGTTGAATAAACAAGGTAACTGGAGCGTCGCGTACTCTCTTAAAGTCCGCTAAGTAAGACAAGTCTCCTCACCAGTGGCCTGCACGGTGGTGATGAAGTCCTGCTTGTACGGCTCGACGTTGGCCTGGGTCTCCTGGATGAGCTGCGGGGCGTCGGCTTGGAGCTTGAGGGCGCGGGCGCGGAGGGCCTCGAACGTCTGCTCGAATTCGGCGCGGTACTTGTTGGCGAGGGCGGCCACGGTGAGGGCGCCATCTTCTGGAAAAGGTGGAATAAATTTGAATAATTTGGATGCATACGTGACGCAGCAGCAGCGGCAGGGTCAGCGCCGGGCTTGGCCGTCTTGGGGGAGGCAGCAGGAGGGGCGGCCGGTTCAGCGGTTGCCATTGTTGAGTTGATGACGAGTTGGGTGACGAGCGAGGAGTGAAAATTCCGAGTGGACGAAATGGTTTATTTTATACGTGATTTTGGAGGGTAATAGCTTCCGTTTCCGGCGGTTTTTGCCTGCCAGGTAGATTTTTTATGTAAATTTATTAAATTTAGGGTTATCGGGTCGGAAAACCTGTGTTTTATGCGGTAGTGGGAAGCAAATTACAGCTGTTTCCGGTGCTTCTTGCACCCGAGGTAAAACCCGGATGTAAATTTGTTATTTTTCGGGGGTCTTGGCGTCCAAATGATCATATGGTGAAATTCGAGGTCTATTTTTTTACGTAGATTTTAGTGAAAACTTAATCTAAAGGCTATTTCCCTAATAATCGCTGCTAGCTTACTTTTTAACGCGACGATTTAATTTAGTTCTTTTCGCTTATTTTAGCGCGTCTAAATTTTTCTTACTTTTCAGAGTCAGGTTTCAAAGTTTTTGCTTAAATTTTATTTAAATTAAGGTTCCTAACCCTTGATAGACGTTTTCCCAAATTACCATTGCTAGCCGTCGTGCTAGTCGCCTTCTAAAAATTTTATATGAGCCATTTGTCACGTGTTTCAGGACCTCAAACTGGTTTGGTACTTTTCAAAACAAAAAACGCTTATTTTATTCTTTGTTGAGTCGTATACAACTTATTTCGCGTCTAATTTCCCTAATGCTCGCCGCTAGATTGCCTTTTGGAGCTTGAACCGAGTTTTTCTCGTTACTTTAGCTCCTTGCAGATTTTTTCGTGCCTCGAATCCCACGAAAAAGCCCTCATCTACCCCCGATTCTTGATTGTTGGCCCGCTAAAAGGACGAGTAGACTTAAAAAGGTACGCCTTCTAGGGCAACAACCTACTCAAGGTATTGTTAGTAGCCGTTGACTCTTCTTTCTTTTTATCATCAGCAAAAAACGGGCGAAACAAGGGGGTAACCGGCTAGAAAATGCGGACTTCCCATCGGACCCCTCGTCGCGGGCGAGGGCAACATCCCATGATGGTCGATGCATGGATGGGTTTGGATCAAGCGGCGGAGGGGTGGGAGTCACGCATTCACAAGTATGGAACGCTAGTTGAGGCATTTTAGGTTGGGAAAACTTGTGTTTGGTTTAGGAACGTTAATTCTATAATCGAATGTTCCGATGTTTTTCCAGGGTAATCCTCACGCTAATTATAGTCTTTTTGATCATAATATCTCGTTTTAGCGTGTTTACTTGACGATAAACAGGGTAGTTATGAAAGTTTGTTTGCTTCGCAGAGCGTTGGCGATTAGTAATCCCATAATTATAACTATCTCATCTGTGATGCACATTTTTAACGCGTTAACTTGTCGACAAGCAGAAATTTATATTTTTATTAGTTACGCTGGTTTCGGTCGTTTTTAAAAATGACATTACGGTTGTTTTGCCCCCAATAGCTCGTTTTTCAGAGTTTATGTGGTTTAGAAGCGGAAATTAAATTTCGCAGTGTTCGCAACGTTTTGCTGATTACGTCCAGAGAAATTAGACGTTCTTGAATGACCACTGGAGGCAGTAGGAAGAATCGGGGGCCAGGGGTTTGTCTATGTTTTCCTCCAGTGCCCTCCTGCCGTCGGGTCGTCATGGTGCACACGGATATGGGCCCTAAGCGAGGGGGAGGGCCCAGAGGCCAACCTCCTCCCCTCCTTCCAGCATAGTACCAGGATTACGCCAGGTTTTCCACCCTCGACTTCATTGTCTATCTCAAAAAAATTGGTCTAATCCGCTCCGGCGGGTCTTCCTGGGGGATATTTGCCATTTAGAAATTTTCGGAATGCGGGTTTATGGACTTTCTGAACAATTTCGGGTTTGAATTTAAAAAAAACGCATTAAAAACCTCTATTGTAAAATTAGGACTATTAAAAGCTCCAAAAACTCACCTTGAACTATAGTTTCTTTACGAACCAAATATATTTACGGCGATTTAGCGTTAGCCTCGATTTTCCAAACTTTTTGGACCTTCAAATGCGGCGAAAATGGCTCTTTGATTTTTTTTTAATAAGTTTTAACGTGAAATTTGTATCTCGCTGATCTGAATATAGCTAGTTGCTTATTTTTAGGGTTAGTTACATTAAATACCTCGATTTTTTTTGGAATTTTCACGTTGAGACATCAAGGCGCACAAGATTCCAAGCGCCAGAGGTGCTTCTCGGACTCGAACATGGCTACACAACACTCCTCTAAACCCCCGTATCCGTGCGTTCTTTGCCTTTGAAGATTTTTTCGGTCTTTCGCCCTACCAAGGCACGTACGTTGTGGTCAGAGGTGTACCTCGTAGTCATCTTACGCTACCACTACGCTCCTTTGCAGGTCTTCTTTTGAACTTTTCTATTCTTCTAAAGCTTTTTCTTCCAAGTTTTCTATAGCCACCTCCAAAATAACCTTTCAAAAACAGCCCTGCCTCCTGCTGACAGCAAAACCCAAAGCCAGATTACGGCCTATTTATGGCGCGTTCACCCCCCTGGTTATTATCCCACCACCAGCCCCGCCATTGTTCCGACAAAAATCTCGAGATTTTCGCATGATTTCCTGCGGTTCCCCCCATCGGCTTCACTTCAGCAACCTTTTGAGGGCCTTTTTGAACGGACCTTTCTGAAGGTAACGGCTGCGGAGGAGCGAAACATTTTCGAGTGTATGTATTTGTGTTTTTTTGCAACTCCGGGGCTCCAGGCGGGGTTGCGTGAAATCGGGCGGCGCCTGCGTTTTTTGTTGGTCGGCTCCACCCTCGCTTTTCTGGGGAGGAGGAGATCGACTGGAAATTCTTTATATCGTGCTGTGAGAAAAATTGGTCTGGGATCGGTTGGTTTGGCGACTGGTTTCTTGGAATGCGGAAATGGCGAAATGTTGCCAAATCATGGGGGGAATTTCTGGTTGAATTGAGGTATCGTAATTTAAGGCGGTAGTTTTGACGCTCTTACGATATAAAAACCTAACAAATAGATGTACTAATTAAAGGAGAAATCTAGCTTCCCATTCTAACTGCTGTTTCTGATTTTTTCATAGTTACTCCGATAAAAATCGTCATTTTTGCAACGTGGAAACGGAAATTTTCTGGGTACAAACCAACCTGATTTTTGCATTAATGATCACCACGCTTTAGTTTCACGAAATTGATCAATTTTTTCAACGTGAATCGGATAAACATCTCTAGCGTTGTGCCCCGGAACCTTTTTTCATTTTTCGCCATCTTCCCGCGAATCCGCAATACCACAAATTAGCGGTGGAAAACAGAAACCTGAAGGGCTTCTCGGGGGTGGGATTTTCATTTTTTTGCAAGAATGGGGTTAGATGTTGAGCAGTAGGGCGTGATTCACGAAATTTTGTTGCAATGCTGGCGGATTAATTTTCTGATTTTGATAAGCGAGATTTGCTAAAATTTATAAATTGTATTTTCATACAGGAAATTGGTTGTTTGGGTGATGTACAATTTTTTTATGAAGAACCTGGCCTGAAAATCTTAGGAATCTTATCCATTTTTTTGCAAGCTTGAACATATCTGTGATGATTTCGACATAATTTAATGATCTGTAGGTGCCACGTTAACTAAGGCCTTTTTAACGGGATAGAGACAGAAAAATTTCCAGCAGTTTTGCAATAGTAAAATCTCAAGGTTGGACCAATTGCCCGCTAAATGGTGCGCCATTACTCTTCCCAGCCTGACCCCAAATTTCGGGTCTTTTAGGTGGTGGTTCGGGAGCGGATGCACCTGGCCCCCCGTCCCAAACCCACCAACACATAACGGGGGGGACACCATCATGTCGTGCTGGTGCATTATTGACCGCCGTCTCATTTACCTTGCCAGGGGGGGGGGGGGACTGGCGCGCAGGTTAGGCGCCTCGAGGGCACGAAATATTAGGGGGGAGGGCTCCCGAATTTCGCTCGGACTGGGCACGTTTTGCTGGGACGGCACTTCTAGGGGCTCTAATTTCAGGTGAATGCTGCTCGTGTATTCATCAGGGAAAGCTAAAAGTTCATTTTTAGTTCATTTGTTCTATCTGGCTTTGTTGCTGTCCCACTCTCTCTCTCTCTCTCTCTCTCTCTCTCTCTCTCTCTCTCTCTCTCTTTTCCTCTCTCTCTCTCACTCACTCACTTTCTCTCTGTATTTGTCTCTCTTTCCTGAATGATCTTTACTTGTTACCTGTATGGTTACGCTTAATGACTTAGTTATATCTTTTCCTATACTATAAAAATTGATTTTTTGTAATCCTAAAAGTTCAGAGTTTAAATTTTAGCTCAAAACCACAGCTTCCGAATCACAACCGGTCGATGTCAACAAACGGAACCCTAAAGCCGAAGCAGAAATACAAGTTTAAGGTAATCAATCGGAACGTTAGCTTATTGTCCTCCACTTCCAGATCACGAACGCTTCGATCGAAAAGTACATGTTCAACCTGCGGATTGTCGGGATCCTGAAGAAGAAGAATCGAGGGTTGGGCAATGAGGTAACTCCTGAAAATGGTAGCGTAAAACAATAAAGATCAGGATCTCCAACTCGACCTCAGCCAACTCGACAGCGACGAGGAGGAGTTGAAGCAGCACCCCAGGAATCGGAGTGAAAAGCCGGATTGTTGTCCGGTGACATTGTTGCCAGGTAGTTTTTTTGTATTCTAGCGTTTCTAGAGGTATCTATAGATAGCCATTACGGTTTTGTCGTTAAAGATACGCCTTCGGGACATCTGAAATCCATCAAAAAGAAAATTTAGATACAAAACCCCCTTCCCCTCGCACTCCTCTTGCAGTGATTCAATCTCCTAGGACTCCAAGGTCTTCTAGATCAGGGTAAGCACCCGTTTTTCCATAACCTTCGGTACCTTTCCAGGCTGCCATTTAAAAAAACATAGGCTACTTTCCGTACGGCATACGATGGCGTCGTAATATAGCGTAGTGTTGCGTAGTGCTAAACGTTTCTGAATCGCTGAATTTTCAGAAGAAGAAGCTCTCGTGACGTCGAAGCCGGTGAAAACTC